ATATTTCTGTTCTGGTGCATGATGGGACGCTGACGGACTTCAAACTGACTTTGGATCAGCACAGAAACAGAATACGGATCAGGTGGCTGCTTAAACTGCAGTTTACTGTCAGTTAGTTTCAGTCGTTTCACAAATACTTAATAACATGTTTACTAATGAAGTGATGGATGTGGAAAATGAAGATGAAAAGAAAAAAGACGAGAAAGAAATGGGTTGGAGGAAACAGAGACATAAGGATGAGAGTGAAAGAGGAGGAGGAGGCGAGAAGGAGAAAGAAAAGGAGGCTAAATAACAAAAATGAGGAGAAAATAAAGACGAGGAGGAAGATGAGGAGGATTACGAGGGAAAGGAGGACGAGGAGCAGGAGGAGGCGCAGGAGGAGTGTTGAAGGTGACCTTGTCTGAGAAGAGGCGGCGGGTCGACGTCTCCAATTATATTCATGAAGAAGAGTCATTAAAGTTTCACCAGGCCAGATGTAAAGTCTATTTATACACACACACTACATCGCTGTGTAACACACACACTGACAGATACACACACACACACACACTGACAGATACACACACACACACACACTCACAGATACACACACACACACACAGACAGATACACACACACACACACACACACACACACACACACACACACACACACACACACACACACACACACACACACACACACACACACACACACACACACACACACACACACACACACACACACACACAGACAGATACAGATACACACACACACACACACACACACTGACAGATACACACACACACACACACACACACACAGACAGACAGATACAGATACACACACACACACACAACGTGGCTCTGAAACACACACACTAACACACTGTAACACAAAACACACACTCCCTCTTTCATTTCCAACTTTCTGCTCGCTCCTGAACATCTGATGACTCGTATGAAATATTAAACACACACACACACACACACACACACGCACACACACACACACACACACTTTAAAGTATTAGCGACCCATTTCTGACGGTAATAAAACCTTAATAATTTAACATCAGCCGCTCGTTCAGCTGATAACTACAGGAGGAGGAAGGAGAGGAGGAGGGAGCAGACGGTGTGTTCGTGTGTTTCTCTGACTGTGGGATTTTGCATCCGTCACAGAATAAAATGCTGTTGTTAATAATTCAGCGCTCAGAGACGTTTTCCAGCCAAACAGGCTGCAGTTAAAGGATCATACCGCTGTTTTTGCATGTTTTATTTACCAGCGACGGCCTCAGTCACAGTCACTGCACACACTCCTGTGTGTGTTTCACTGGGTAACATGCAGGAACAGCGGCCTGGCCCTTTAAAGACAGACACTATATGAACTGCAGCACAGGGCCGGATCCAAACCTGGGTCACTGCAGCAAGGACTCTGCCTTGATATGTGGAACATGCTCGACCAGGTGAGCGACTGCTGCGCCCAGTGCTCAGAGACAAGTGCACGTCTGCTGAGGAAGACCATGCGGTACAATCAAAAGCTCCAGATCAGCAGCAGCTTCTGTTTGGACCGTTGTTAACGTTAGTTTTATCGTTTTGTTTTTGGAAACTGCTCGTCTTCTGTTTCCTGTGCTGCAGCCCGTCTCCATCTTACAGGTTTCTGTGTCCCATCATGCACTCTCACAGCATTCATTTCCCACAGTGCACCAGCAGGATTTGTAGTCCTATCATGAAGCGGCAGTCTGTGATTGGTGCTCGTCTTTGGTCTCATTTATCTCGAGGAAACAGATTTTT